AGTCGTGGTGATTGACGTTATCTACGGACATCCGATCGAGGGAAACACCGAATGCCGATCGTCGTGTGACAAATATTTCATTTTTTTTTTTTGTTATAATATGGATTGTTACTCGGCGAGAACGGAACAAATTTAGGCGATCGACGGTGTTGGTCGGGCGCTTGTGCTTCAGTCGGTCAACACCTACACAATTCGCGTGGCCGTGTAGCGCGCTACTAACGACGACGCTTTGGTTTGGAAACGACGTGAAATAAATTTCGCGACACGAATCGCAAAGTGCCTCCGATACCTATTACTGTGCTGTAACATCGCAACTCTCGGCCGGTCGCTGGTCGTAACAAGTGGGTCGTACGTACCTCCTACTCCTCTTGTTCCTGGGCAAACCGTTGGCGGCCGCACTTGGCGAAAAGTTCGGAAAATTCGCTGGCGATCTTCACGTCCCGTACATGGCGTGGCGGTCGGATTTAGCGGTTGCCGACGACGCACGGAAACGCCGGCGACTGACGTTCCGCCGGGACTTGTTTAGTTACGGCAGTTTAGCGGTMGCAGCGGCAGTATTGGTAGACGATAGCAACACAATTATAATTAATATTATTGTTGTTGTTATCGAGAAGCAACGACGACGCCGAATCAGCTTGGTGGACGGACGCGATAAGTGAAATACTGTAATATATTATATTATTTTGTGTATTTCGCGACGGCACGCGATTACAGCGGAGGCGGCGACAGTAGTACGCGGCCGGAGACGACGACGACGATTGGGTTTTGAACGCGGCGGATCGGCATCGGGGCCGCCGGACGGACACTTACACAAAGGAACAGCTGATATCGAACGGATTGGGCCGTCGTCGGTACTACAGTACTGACGGTCGTGGTGGTGRTGCCGGGCGGAGGGGGTGGTGCCGGCGCTGCTGCTCGCTCGCTCGCTCAGTGCTCACTCACTCGATGGCTGGCTGGCGGACCGGCCGCCGGTACACCGCCACCACCACCGCGGCACCTCCAACGTCACAGCCGCCGCGCGTAACGGTTGAATTGTGCGATCCCCTTCGTCCTCACTCACCACCAACCGACCGGCGCTGCTGACGACGCACAGCTGAATCCAGTGTGGGCGACCCGCAWACGTACAATTACCGTATCATGCGACCGACCGGTTTTTTTAAATTTATTGTTTCGTCCGTTTGTTTGTTTTTTACGGGTCGAACTCCACAAAAACTATAACTATTATAATTACTACCGTTGATTATAAATAGCAGTATATAATACTATTTATAATCAGTGTATTCGACAGTACCAAATACATCACAATAAAGTATACGAAATAAATAATACAATCGATTGTAAATTATTAAATTCATAATCAATGTCATTAGGTACGTTATAAACTTTGTTCGGGATCGACATCATACACGATAAATATTATAGCAAATAAAAATAATAATGGAAAAAATTATTGAAAAAAATACTATTCGGTAACATGTAATGGAAGAAACGTACAAGTTCTTTCTATCGTTTAAACGTAAATTAACTGTGTCGATTGAGTTGAAATATTTTAAAAACTAACTATCGAAAAAATGAGAAGATGAAAATTTCAATTGCTAGATGGATCATCTTCACCAATAATAATTTATTCTTAATAATATCATTATATATTTAAATTATTATCTTTAATGGTCTGAAAATCATTAGGCAATATATTACAGTCGAGTCTCGATTACTCAAATCTCAAGGGGAATAAAAATAATTTATTATTCAAGTTATATACAACAAATATAACTTAAAAACACTTCAAGGGGCAAGAAAAAAAGTTCGAGTTATCGAGTCTTGACTGCAGTATATTTTTTCATAGTGTTCATTTTTTGCATTTTGCATGCTATACCTATACCTATACCTATACAATACCTAAAAGTATCAATAATATAAAAATTAAATAAATAGAGAAGGCATTTCCTCTTCAAATACGTAGATATTAAATTTCTGAATATGCGTAATATGCGTTATTCTAATATCTAATTAACTAATAAACATTACCACGCATATTATGTAATCGTCCTTTCGAAAGAATTTATTTTTAGGCGAGTTTTGAAGCAACACAAATAATGATAAAATAATATTAAAACTATATTATAATTTATATTATTATCGAATCCGTCAATTATTAGATATTTTATTATTCACGCACTCGAGACCGATCGCCTATCCGATTGAATAAGGTCGTATGATATGGCCATTGACGATATTATACAGGATGTCTCGTCGATCATTGTGCAATTTTTCTACTAAATAACATAATATACCTCAACCTGATTACTGAGTAACCAATGATAATTTATTAATGTAACCATAAACGATTTGAATACTAAAAACTTATCTTAATATAACAATTTAAAAAATATAAATACCCAAGTATGATCACATACAAATGAGCAATATAAATTTGAAATCTACCAATAATATAATGAAAACAAGAATTCATTAATTTTTTTATTTTGAGCTTAGTAAAAAACCAAATACTATATTAGTCTATCATAATAATTGTAAGTGCGACTCTCATACGGCAATATTCATCTATAAAGTCACCATAATACGTTTCAAAAATATTATTAATTGGAAAAATTTTACAGACAAAGATAAACTCGGCAAAATATCCTAAATAGGAGTTTCCTTCCCACACACACACGCGCGCACGCGCGTACGAGAACTGACATGCCACAATAATTATTATATTTTTGAAAAAAAATTTGCGGAGCGATTCACACCAAACATACGTCAGCTGCGCGAGAGACCACAAAGGCGATTAGCAGCGCGAATATTATACATGTGGGTCGTATATGGTACGCAGCAGATGGCGTGTATTCGGTCCGTTTTCCATCCCTAAAACGGAATTTGAAATTAGTGATGACGTGGGTGTCGTGTTATAACGGGTACGTGGGTGTATATAAGTATCCTGCTGCAGCAGCCCCGTACCGAATCGATGATTCTAATACGCYGATTAAAAATACCTTCCTGCAACCCGCGCAACGAATATCTTAATCTCATTTATAGACGATTTGAAAATTTCACTTCTCAAATGATTGCCAGCCTGCCGTTTTCGGAATAGTGAACAAAATTAAGCATAATTCAGTTGTTTTAAATGTTAGAAAAAAAAAACCATTAGTTTCTGTTTTAAGATTTTAGAAGTTATGTAAGTATATAGAGATTAAAATATGTGCACTATATTATATTATACATATTTTGACCATAATAATATAATCATAGGTATTTTATATTTCATTATATAATATAAAAGAATTGTACAATAAATAAATATTATTGACAACAACTACAAGAAATGTCATTAAATAATAAGGACTGAGTAAAAAAAAAAAATAAACGTACCTATATTATAACATTTTATTTCATCATACACTATATTATAGTGTTGTTTCCCGAAGCCTGTGAAAATAATGTAGTTAAGGATTTGACCTGAAATTCGGTACATATACTTTGGTCGATATTATAATTAGGATAAGACACATACAATTATTTTATATAAGTATTGATACAGTAAAATAGAACTTCGTCAAACTTCGTCAAACTCCGAAAACAACTCGACTATTTCACAAATATTTTAATCGGAATTTACAAACATCTACGCATATACAGTCTCAAACAAGAAACAACTTCTAACAAACAGAGCCACTCGGGCAGGCGTACTGCAAAGCAATTGGGATATTGCCCGGGTAGTCTGCAGCTTAAATAATGAGTGGCCCGAAGTTCGGCTTCAGACACTTTGTTATTTTTTACGGTGATAATTTGGATGTTTTATTACCTATGTGTTTGGTTGAAATTTAATAAAATATGGGTGGTAGATGTACTTGGTACAATAATATAAATGGAGAACATAGAGCGGAGAGAATGTGTGAAAATATTTTATTTAAAATTACAATTATTGATTATTGATCATCATATAAAATGATTAGGCAGTGCAAACTAAAAAAAAAAAAATGGCCACTGACATTTTCTTTAAGTCTGATTGTCGATCAGACTGTTTTTTATAGTCACGGTGTAAGTCTCTAATAATATAATACAGTGATGTGCTTAAGTGAGACTAAATTCCGGCAAAACAAGTATATATTMGTTTACCTGTGGGCCTATATGATCACTTACRGTCCGACAAATGCGTCTCCCGTTTTCTATAAGGATTACTAGCCAAGAGCAACTCGTGAAGGTAAAATGAAAATCAGTCACTTATATTATTCATAGATTCTTTGAAAAAATAGACTGTTATTCATATTCACCAATATATACTGCAGGTAAGACCGTTATTTCAAATTTATATTTCCTTCGTATGCATAATGAGTAAATGAGTAAGTATAGAGACTATATAATATAATAACTACTATATAGTATAGCTATCTATTTAGCTATATTAACTGGCGTTACCCGGGGATAAATGAAATCGAGATCCACTTGCCACGGATAGTATAAAAAGTAACTTTTTAGTCAATTTTAACTTTGGTGAATTCGTCGCGTTACATAATGAGCTGTCTACCCATTTTTTAGTATAAATATCATTATGTCCTATACGTAAATTATGCGTTTCCCTATATGATTATAGACGCAAMTAGATGGGGAGGGGGCTTATCCATCCTATGAATATAAATTGGATAATATGTCACGAAAAAAAGTCTTCTTCGATAAGGTATAAGATTGTTGAATAACGAGTGGGTATGCTGAACCTTGCTCTTTTCTATRGTTTGTACTCTAAATAATAATTGAAAATAATGTCCTTATTATTGAATGCATTAGTAATTATCTTAAAAATTCATCAAATCATGCAATAACATAATAAATACTATATAGGTAAGTATACGAGTTGATTTTTTTATATTATATCAAATTGTTTATGAAAAGCTAAAATCATAATATTATAATATTAAAATATTTTATAAAGTTGTCCTAAAAAAAAAAGTAGGTATGTACTTAACTATTAAATGAGAGTTTTTATTGGCAAAGTCCTCCAGTAAAAATTAACATCAAAAACATTTAACAACATTCGTACTTATTTAATGAATTTAAGAAAATCAAAGCACTAATAAGTAATATAGTGTGTGTCTTAGTATCTACAATACCAARTGGAGAACAAGGTTATCTTTTCTCAAACAATATTATACATTTTAATCATAGCAAGACGACGGATTACAATTATTAAACTAACTAAACCTATACAAAATTAGTAATAAACTAATAACACACTCACTATTATAATATATTGGCGATTATTATTATTTATTATTTGTCAATTTGTCATGAACTAAAATTTCGTCATATTGATTTCAATATRATGATTGTTCAACACGTCTACTAGTCTAAACGTTATTTATACTTAAAACTAAGAAAAGTAAACATTTATATTCATCACCGTAAATAAATTTGAGCAAAGTAACCAACAATAGTGTTTCATAATATTTATTTAGCACATTAATATTTTAAAAAAGAGGTAATGAAAACACAAAGAGTTTTTAATCGTTATGTAAAATTTACTGAGTTAAACGTAATACTATCCTAAATATTTACCAAACAACTATAACTCCTTGTAATATTCATGCACATCATTGGACAAAACATGTAAGATTATAATTTAAAATTTAGACAAATCCAATTCAAATGCTTAACTATTGCAGATAACCATAAAATTCAATATCAACAATACAATGTTTGGCACTGTAATATGGTATTAGGGTATTCAGAATTCAGATTCTCTAAATAAGTGTTATTCATTATAAACACCAAACGCCTCTTTTAAATTTTAATAAGAACAAAAAAGTAAGTATACGATCAATATTAAAAAAAATTATTATGTGTATAAAACATTGAAACTCGGTAGGTATAAAATTGATATTATTAAAATTATTCAATGGAAAAAAATTTTATATAATATGGAT